GGGGGGAGGGGGGAGGGGGAGCCAGCTGGAGTTCTGCTACCTTTCAAAGCCGGAAACAAAGAGAGCCAGAACTTTCCGAGTTTAGGTTTAAAAGGTGGTATTCACAAAAGGGATCTTACTTTTTAGTGGTCTAAAACCGCTGTCAATTCTCAGAAATGGCCAGCTATTGGCCAGGTCTCAAGCAGAGAAGAAATTCCCAGCAGTCTCTCTCAAAGGCTTCACTTCCATGTTTTCTACTTTTTTTTTTTTTTTCTTTTCTTAAACACCAAACCATCGCACTTACACACTCTAAGATTGGAAGAATGTTACCTGATGGCTGAACAGGATTTAGTACCACATAAAACCAGTGAGGTTTGTTACTGAGATGTTTTATTTCCCGTACCTGGACTTTTGACTGCACTTTGACCATTGATTATTTCCATCTCAGCTGTGACTCTAAAGCCTTCCAATAATATGGAACAATTCACACTAAATTTCACTGGCAGCTCTGGGCTTTGAGATGAATTTTACATATACCTTGGAACAGAACTGTCCCACAATATACAATCCTATACTTTCTTCTCCCGTCGGGAGCTGAAACCAGTATTCCTGACCATGACCTCTCCTGTCCTGGTTGGCTCTGCTGTCAGTTAGTGTCATTAAAATGGTGGCTGTAAACTGTATTTTCATTATGACATCAAACTGAGCTGTGCAGTTTTAACATTGCTGGAAGCTTAATTGGCTCATACCAAAAGTTCTGTGGTATTTGGCTTTGCAGCCTTAAGAACCTTTAAACTTTTATGCAGAGGGAATACCTTGGGTGAAATACAGACTGGATTTAAATAACCAAAGCTTTTTGGGATGGAATTTGGTACACTATTTCACTTTTCACCATCTTTAAAAAGCAAAATAATGTGTGATTTGTATGTGACAAAGCAGTTATTCATTCTTGCCATGTAATTTAATGCGATGTTCTGTACGAACGGAAGGGCTTCACATAATAGTATCCCACAGTAACAAACCTTGGGCAAGAAATGTTTGATTCTTCTCCCTTTCCCCTTTAGTGCAGTGCCACATAATCCTTGGTTGTTGTGTGGTCTCCTATTCAACTTTTCACACAAATGTTGGAAGGGTATTTATAAAAAGTCTTGAGGACCACACACTTTGCTATTGAAAATTGGCTGAAATAATCCCTTCTTTATAATTTAGTTGTGGTGTTGTTGAAGTTTAAGTTCCATGTGTATTTCTGTTAAAGGGGCACAGGAGAAATGATGTGTTGGATGGACAGGATGCTGTGGTCAATTGTGGTGGTGACACCTGTGACAGGCTCAGTGCCTGGAACATCCCTTCATTGTGCTCCCCAGTTACAGACAGGACTCTGACATAATGCTTTGGCTGTTCCTCCTTTGGTGGATATGATCTGACTCCAGTGTTTGGCATCCTCTGAGTGCTCACCTCTCCCAGAACACAAGATTCTCTGGAGCAAGGGGGACCCATCCTGAGGGGAGAGAGCTTCATTCCAGTTAAATGCAGAAGTACAGTGAGGTGTCCAATGTTCTTCTAATGAATTTTTCTTCTTACAATGAGGGAGTGGTTTTTGTGTTTAATACTGTGGATTTTTAATTTTAAAATGAAAGTATTTTGGAATCAAGAAGTTGGAAAAATAGGAAAAACACAAGCTCTGAGTGTGCATGCATGACTTGTGTGTTTGTCAGAGGAGAATTCCAGTTAGTGTAAATCACACATTATACGCTGGAAACAGTCAAGAGTTGCTCAGCAGGTTGTAATTTGTCAAGTATAAAACACAAATTAACCCCATCCTAATGCAGAGATATGGAATCCGTGGCTTCATAGAAAGCTTATCTAATCCAATTGACTTCTGTGTGGGTTCTGTTTGCACAGCACACACAGCTCCTCCAACCACAGCTGGGCAAGAGACACTCAGAAGTACATCTTGGATTGCCTCACTCAGATGTGAATGTATCACCTCAAAGAAAATGATCCCAAAACCTGGGAATCCAGCAAATATGGATATACTCTCAGTGTCAGGCATGCAAAACGCATGGAGTGGAACTCAGAAGAACCAATCTGTACAGCAGCCCATCCAAACAATATTTGCATGTCAGAATCTACTGTGGGATGTTAACACTCTTAATATAAAATATTTAATAAAAAAAATCAGAGGAATACAGTTAACCTGATTGATTTATTTCTACTTTTAATACTAGACATGCTTACAATGCTAGGTCATATGTTCTGAACCCAGAATGAAAATGTTTCTTTTTAGAAGCATTTCCTCTAAAGGAATACGTTTTTGTAGATTTGAAAAGTCTCACAGTAAAGTGCTTCTTTAATCCAGCCAAAGTTGATAGTAATCAAAATTCACAGCAATGTTTAAACCCTGTGGAATGTTGGGATGGTCTGTTCCATGATTAGTTAGCAGATGTTAACTTTAACAGGCCCTTTTTTCTGGCACTGTAAGCTGAACAATAAGTAATTGAATAGGTCTTGAGGAAATCACTACACAATCACGGGAGTATTCTCTTCAGATTACTATAAGGATATATTTGAAGAGAGAAAATTTGTTCCACTCCTGTTCATTGGGTACTTAGAAGACTTAATTTTCCCTTTTCTCAGCAGTGTGATCATTTACATTCTGCATTAAGAGAGCATGATATTCCTGTTTATTGCAAAAACTTTATTGTTTTTTTTAAAATCTTTTTAAAATGCATTTTTGTGGAAGTTGGGGTTATTCACAGAACTTCAGTTTAAACATCTAGATAATTATTTCAGGCAGAGAGATAGCCTGGCTTTTGTGAGGAAGCTGCCTTTAAGGGAGTGAATGTGTGTCTTCTTTCCATCCCTCCAGGAAGACAGGTTCACTTTACCATTGCACAGCAGGGAGGATGTGAGGGGAGGAAAGAGTGAGAAACAGCCCTTTGGAGGCTGAGGTGAGGGAGGGTCACCAGGTGTCAAAGCAGATCTTCCTCCTGCAGCCTGTGGAAGGTTTGGAAGAAACTATGGTGGAACAGGTGTTTGTGTGCTGCCCATGAAGAGAGACCAGAGTGGAACAGATTCACACCATAGAGCCCCCACACCAGAGCAGGGGGAGGTGTTGTGAAGGAAATGCAGCCCAGGGAAAGCCCACACGGGAGCAGTTTCTCCTTATGGGAGCTGTGGCTTGTGGAGGAGCTCTGCTGGAGCAGGGAACATGTGAGGAGGAGCAAGCACCAGATAGGGAAAGTCTTGGGCTGGCCACAACCTCCCATTCCTCATCCCTTGCACCACTCTGTGGTGAGGGGATGAAGGAATGAGGCTGAGGCTGAGAACGAAGGCCCTGACTTGGGCAGGAAGACTGTCCAAGCATAATTTAATTTGTAATAAATTATTTCTCTGAGCCTGTCTTGCTCATGGTGGCAATCAATAAATGTTCTCCCTTTCTTCATCTTGACCATGAGCCTTTTCATCTCATTTTCCTCCCTGCTGTTGAGAAGAGGGAATAAGAACACAGCTGGGTGGACACCTGGAAGTCAGACTTGGGCAACCCACCACAAAGGCTATGAAGGATATAACAAATAAGCTTCAGTCGGTCATTCCATTCAATGAATTCAGATTTGGTTAAGATTTTCTTCTCCTGAGTCATAATTTTTAACCTTCTTAATTCATCATCATCAGCCACTGACCTTTGTTTAATGCTGTTGGCCAAAATAGAGAGTTCTGTTGTCTTTTCGAGTAAAAAGTACAGTAAAAGTGTTTTATACTCTGGATTAAAAAACTTTACCTGAACTTGTAACATGCCACAGTAACAGTAAGAGATAGTTACTATACAGTTTATAACTGATAATTTATTTGCTTTTTTTTGTGATCAGCTGTGAATGGTCATGGTCTGGAAATCCGGGGTGGCAACCACCAAATTACAGTGAGTTCTGCTACCAACTTTAAGTTGTTTGGAAGAAACAAAGGAAAACAGGTAAATCCTGTATACAAGGTGTGGGGAAGAGCCAATTTCTTTACGTGTTTCCCATGATGAATGTATAAATGCAGTATTCTAATACCAGGTAGTTAATTTGCCAACTTCATAAATTACAGCAACTGTACAAGTATTACACAACAAAAATGGTAGAAAATACCTTTTTTAGATACTGAGATGTTTTTGTGACTGTCAAATGTTCAAAAAGTTTGAAGATTGTCAAGTTCAAAAATGAACTTTTATAGTTAAATTTTCAGCTTTTAAAGAGTTCAGGTTTTTCACTGCCCTCTCAAGCCCCCGCTGGTGGTTTCCAGCTCAAGGAAGGATTCTCTAGTTGAGGAATTACAGCAAGTTCTGTCTTCAATAATTAGGACCATAAAAATCATTCTTCTAAACACTGATTTGTGGTCCTAAATTAATCATTGGTTTCTGAAGTATTTAAGTCCCTGGAAACTGCTGGATTTTAAGAAGCCAAGAACCTTTAAACCTCACCAAAAATTGTTTTGAAAATCTCACCCAGCATTAGGTTTCTCTCTATATTTTATAGCAACACAGTTCTTTTTTTCCTTGTCAAGGATAATAGCTGATGTCAGAATTATAAATACTCTACAATAATTACTTGAAATACAGAACCAGATTTAATAGACCCTACAGTGAAATATTTCTTTGAAGCTCTGAAACTTGATTCTTTGTTTATTAGGAAAGTCACTGCTTTAAGTTTGTGCAGCATTTCAAAAGACTTAGAAAACACAAGAAGTCATCTAAATGAATTCTAAATTCCCATTTATCAGTTTCATCTCCAGTCTGACACAACCTAATCGACTTAAGTTGTTGGAGAAGTAGTTCTCAATATGATGCTTAATGTATGTTTTCTGTTGGATACCCAGCTGTAAATTTAATATACTGAGTACCTAATGGATGTCATGGTGAAATTTTTCCTTCTATTTGGACTTAATTAAGGTTTAAAACCCATCAGCACAAACAAACAAAAATGTCAAAACTGTTTTCTCTCCCTCACTCTGAGTGTATAAGCTATCTTTTGACATATGTTGCATCTGGAAGCTGGGAACTGAAATCTCCTGTTTCTGTCATTAGCAATTCTGGATTTGCATTGGCTGATTTACCATTCCCTAAGGGAGATAGAGCCAGAATCTGGGACTGACACCCAATATAGAGCAGGAGATACTTCGAGCAGCCAGCATGGTGAGTAAAGATAATGGATTAGTCAACTGCTCAGCTTTCTAGTTAACTGAAAAAAAAAAAAAGTACCTTTCAATTGCAGTAAAATAACGTGAGAGTATAAGAAACAACCTTTGTAATAGAAACAGGCAGGGATTTTTTTTTAGCAGGGTGCTGAATTCCTCATAATAAATACAAACAAAGTAATTTTTTGACATTGATTCCACTCTCAAAGAGAAATTTTCCCTCCTGGTGTTTCTGCTCAGCTATTTTATTCAGGCAAAACACAGTGGTGTGCAATAAGATCAAAAGAGTTCAAGTTAATAATTTCTGCAGTCCTAATTAATTTACCAAGAATGAAATAGGACCTAATACTTAAATCTGGACCCCAGACTTTATACCTTTCTATGATGTTCAGAAACGCTGCTGGTACCTCACATACTTTCAGTAATAGCTTTGGCATGTGAAATGGTCCCATAAATACAGCAGCTACAGTATCTTAAACTGTGGGAGTGCTACTTTCAGGGAAAATCAGGAATACTTAGGCATGTAGGCTTTTATGTCCACGCAAAGCCATTTTCACATTTTACAAATTATTCGAGCAGATGGTGTAGGCAGAAATGTTTTATTTTTTTCCCTAATTGAATATGCTGTCTGATCCATAATTCGTGGTGATTGAAGAGTCCTTTTAACCTGGGAATAATTATGGTGCTGGAGTAACAAGTTCTAGCCACTCCAAGCAGTAAGAAGTTGAGTGTTAAATAATCACTTTTCCTTCAGAAACACCTGATTTGGCTAATTCTATTGAGATTCTAAAGGCGGTGGATTTTGGTTCTGTTTATTTATATTGTAATATTTGCAACATTGGAATTCCCAAACCATAACACTGGATCCATTACATTTTCTCTTGGTGCCCTAATTGCAACAGAAAGTTTAGGGGAAAAAAAACCAAAAAAAAACCAAACAAACAAAGAAACAAAAAACCACCAAACCCACAAAATCCTCCTGTTAATGAAATAAAATTGCAAGACTTGGTGACTTTGAATTTAAGTTTCAAATTTTATGCAAAAACCTCTGAGGAGGTTTTCGGTAGCTATGGTTGCAGAGGCAGCTGTCCCACCTGTGTTACTGTGTGGAAGCCCTGAAAAACAACCAGTTGATTTTCAACCTAGGTGCAAATCCTGCATGTGACTCATGAATGTAATCAATTAGAAACAAAATATCTTGTGACTCTCCGGATGGGGCACCATATGTTGCAATAGAAAAAGAGCACTTCAGGAGGAGGCCGTTTGGTGTTTTTGGAAAGATGACATTGGAGAGAAAATATAGAAAATATGTTTGGCTTTAAATATTAGGACTTCAAAACAAAACCCAGTCATTATTTTGCATAGTTCACTGAGCTAAAGATTGTTTTGGGGATGGGAGTCATCCTGTTGTTACAGGCACTCAACTATTTCTGGTATTGGTGTCACTGCTCGGGGGTGTGTTATTGTGCATGTGATTGTATTTTGTCCTTTCTGAGTGTTCATGTCAGGCAAACTTTGGGGCTTTTCAGAACTCACCGATAATGGATTTCAGTTTGGCCAGAGACATTGGGTTAATTGGCACTGGAATGTAGTGGGGCAGAGGGGGCAGAAGGAGTGTGGAAGACAGCTGGGGGACTTGAAGAAAAGGAGGGAAGGTAAAAGGAAAAAGAAGAATGAACACAAAGTTCTATTCAAATCTATTCAAAGATCTTTTTCCTTGGCATTGCTTTACTGATTTTCCTTCTGATTCTTCTAATTTCTGTTTTTGGAGAGAAATGTTGGCTAACTCTCAAAATACCTTGGCATTAACCTCTGCTTATGGGTAAATGATGAGATCCTTGAGACATTCACTCACCACTGCCCATGGTATGGTTATAATCATTCAGTGATGAAGAATCATCCAGTTTCATCCAGTACTGATGAACTATCAGTGAAAGAGTTACAAGAGGCTTTGCTGTTTAGTAACAGTATCTGTGTAGCTATAGTTTAAATATAGATGGTTTTAATATTTCAAATTGGTAATGAGATCCAAGTCCATGGAAGGTGTTTTTTATGTTATTTGATGGGAAAACCTCTTTTGTCAATACTTAGTAACATGTCTTAATGCTTACAAAATAATTTCTGGTAGTTTCATGGTGTTGGCCAAGCAAGTGACCTCAATTTGCAGCTTGTTAGGTTTTTTATTTTCTTTTTTCCTCTTTTTCTTACCATTCATGATGCATTTTTGTATTTTTTGTTAAGGTATTGATTATTTTCCAAGGCTGCTTAAAATAGGATGAGATTATGGACTTAAATGGACTTAGATCAGTTAAAAAGAAATTTAAAAAGAATTTTAAAAAGAAAATGGACTTAGAGCAGTTATTTAGGTTTGCCACACTGATAGAAGCAATGTGTGCATGGTAAGGAATGTTCTTCTCCAGATTCTTGATGTTATTACAAGATATCACAGTGTAATAAGGAAAACAATTTCTAGGCACTAATAGCAATGACACAATATTGCTTCTTGTCCAGATCACTGTAATCCCTCTGGTTTGCATTTGCTCCATATCATCACATTTCTGCTGCATCAGCTAAAATATTTTTCATTTTTCTGGATTGAAGAACGTTCTGGTCTGATGTGTCTTAAATTTACAGGAATTTACAAGACTGAGTAACAAACTTTCAATTGAAACCAGGGCTGGGAATGCACAGATCTGGGGTGTGGAGCCAACTCAAACACATCACTGGGTCATTGTTCAGGAGGTTGGAGCTGTAAAAAGTTCAAGTTTTGGCTCCTACTGTTTTTAGGTCGAAGTATTGTCCTGAAGTATTCTGCCATCTATTTCTAACTTACTAGTGTTGGACGTTTTTTCATCCTTTACCCACTATCTCCACTGAGTTCCACTATAAGTTTATCTAATTGAGATCCTTTTCTAAAGGTTCACTAGGACTGAACAGACCCCTTCTTTCTTTTACAGTTGTAAGAATTATATTTTGCAATATCAGTGTATATAACTGATTACACTGGACTTGAGTGGGAAACCAAACCCATTCAGGTGATCTAATCACTGATAATTTTATTTGGTCAATGAAGCAGGTCATAGGTCAGATAGGCCTATGTTCAAATAACTGGCTAATGAGGAGACAGGGCAAACAGGACTGGATATCCAAGAATAGAGTTCATGGAATTGTCAGCAGCTTGAAAGTTACTCTTTACGTCATCATGTCATAGCTCTGAACTAGAAAAAGTTGACTGGGTGCATAAATTTAAACACATAATCAGTGGTTTCATGGATTGAAACCAAGTGCATAGGGAAAAAATATCCTGTTTTCTCCCTACTATTTCTTCATCCAAGAAGCCATTTTTTAGACTATTTGACAAAAATGAGTGTGTAACTGAATTCAGGAACAGCATCAGATGACACACAGGCTGTCATATGTTAGTTAAAAAAATAAAAACAAAAATAGTTACCATAACAACTGACTCACCACTTGTATTTTCAAGAGAGAATATCTTAAAACAAGATGTGATGGGTCAGTCCATGTGTGTTGGTGCTGTCAGTGAACAAGCAGGAACACTTTTCATGGTTGGCAAGAATGATTTTTCTGTTTTCTTATTCAAATAAGGATTTGATCTCAGAAATAAGATTATGCTTTTTAGAGGATCCTTTCCATTGAAACAACAATCCAAGAAATGTTTAAAAACAAAACCAAAACTCCCAACCCTGATAACTGAATTTCTAAACAAATTAAGGAACACTTTTTTTTCTTTTATAATTACTGATTTTTCTTTTTGGGGCTCATTGCTGAGGAACTGATCCTGATTATGTCTGAAGTCAACAGGAATTTTACTGTTGACATCAGAGTTTGTGTGATCAAGCCTTGACATTATTTATTTTCTGTTTTGTGTCAGCCCCTCTGAGCCTCCTTCAAAGCCACTTCCCCAGACATGTTTCCTGCATCTCCTCTGAAGCCCTCAGTGCCAAAACTTGACATCATCACTCGAGGTAGCCTGAGGACCATCAGAGATTTTGAACACTTGGTAGTAATTTCCACTACAGACAAATACTCTGCTGAAAAAAGGTTTTGACTCTGCTCCCTCTTTCCTGCAGGCAGTGCAGAATAAAGAATTTCTGCAGAATCAGATTATTTTTTATCTGACATTTCATACCTTTTCCTGGGTTAGGGCAAAGGGAATAACAGAATCACAGAATTATTTAGGTTGGAAAGTTCCTCCAATAGCATTGGGTCCAACCTGTGACCAGTTCGCACCTTTTTACCCAGTACAGAGCACTGAGACCCACATCCAGTCATGATATATATGTAACTGCAGCTGTTATGAGGTTTCCCCTCAATTTTATTATTCAGTTTTGTACTTATCTGACCTGCATTTTAGCAAACAGTTCTTCTTTTAGCCTACGGATATTTATTGTGATTTTGATCATTTTGTCTAGAACTTTGCATGAAGCCATCATTGTAGTAATTACCATATTTCAAAAGTAAAGAAGCCTAACTTCTCCACATATGACATGGGAAAAGAAATACCAAGTTTTGGACTCGTATAAATTAATGTGCTCTAAGAAGAAATAATTTTTCATTAGCAACAATATTCAAATTTGGTATCTAAAGTCTACAATAACTTTACTTTCTTAATAGTTTCTCTCTGAGTTCTCTTAAGGGTCTGAAAGGGTCTGATTTTTTTGGGTATAATGAGACCCTGTTGGAGCCCAGGGTCAGGCATTTCATGACTGCATGTAGCCCTCCCCCAGGCACTGCTTCCCACAGATTTCTCAACACCACATGGTGGCTGCTTGAAAAACAAATTAGTCTTAGTGTATATAAGTTCTGTAAATTTAAATGTACATGTTTACCTCCCTGAAGACATGTCAGGACAAGAGATCTGATACAATCACATGGCCAGGGCACAATGACTTTGGTGCTCTGTAGCAGCTCAGACCTGTCTGTAGTAGGTGTAAAATAAAAATTACCACCCCATCCATAATTACTTCTATCCATAAT